TTTTTTTTTTTCTGAGACAGAGTCTCACTCTGCTGTCCTGAATAGAGTGCTGTGGTATCATAGTTCATAGCAACCTCAAATTCTTGGGCTCAAGCTATCCTCCTGCCTCAGTCTCCCAGGTAGCTGGGACTACAGGCATTTGCCACCACACTCAGCTAGTTTTTCTATTTTTAGTAGAGATGGGATCTCACTATTTCTAAGGCTGGTCTCAAATTTCTGAGCTCAAGCAATCCACCTGCTCTCGCCTCCCAGAGCTAATTTGAATTTTAAAAAATTCTCCGGAGAATCTAATCAAGCTGGTATCTCCATTTTACAGAGTGAAAAAATTGAGATAGAACATCCAAGTAATTTGTTCAAGGTCACACAGTAAGTGATTGAAATGTGTTTTTTTATCTACCTGGTGAACTCCTAACTCCTACTTATCTTTTTTTTGAGACAGAGTCTCACTTTGCTGCCCCTGGTAGAGTGCTGTGCCATCATAGCTCACAGCAACCTCAAACTCTTGGGCTCGAGTGATTCTCTTGCCTCAGCCTTCCGAGTAGCTAGGACTACAGGTGCCTGCTACAACACTTGACTACTTTTAGAGATGGGATCTCACTCGGGGCTGGTCTTGAACCAGCGAGGTCAGGCAATCCACCCGCCTCCGCCTCTCAGAGTGCTAGGATTACAGGCATGAGCCACTGTGCCTGGCCTACTTATCCTTTATAGCCTCAGGCAAATGTCCCCTTATGTGAGAAGTCTTCTCTGACTCCTTCAAGCAGAGTCCCTGTACCTCCTTCTGTTCCAGCAGTGATCAATAGGGTTACTCATTCATTCAGCAATGTGTTGGGTAACTATAGCAGGTGCTTCGAAAACCACAGTGAACAAATACCTGAATCTTTGCCCTCATGGACTTTGTGGGAAGAAGGGACACAGACCATTATCAAGTAAATGAGATAATTCCCGCTCTATCAAGTGTTTGAAAAGAAATAAACAGAGCAACAGTATTGGTGACCAAAAGGGAACCCCTTTAGCCAGGGCAATCTGGGAAGCCCTCTTGACTTGTGAGTAGAGACCTGAATAACAAGAATGGAAGGCTTGCCTGTCTTCCTGACCTGACTAGCAGCTCCTTGAGGGCAGGGCCTGCTCTGATTCATTTTCAGGGCCCGGTATAGGATATGGCTCAATAAACATTGTGGAGTGACTAAAGAAATGAGTGAATTGCCTTTAAAAATGAATCAAGTTTTCGAGTTCCCACCTACCTTGCTTCTGATCCTTGAGTGATGAAGTCAGCTGATATGCCCGATTGACATTTCCTGGGTGTGCTAATGGGGGTGGCATGTGGAAGAGTCCAGAAAGGGTGCTGTATAACCAGCCTCTGTGCTCTGACCTTGAGGACCAATGCTCTGGGGGCTATGCAGTGGGCCCATGCGGTTACCACAGTGTGTGTCCCCAGCCCTGGGCCTTGCACAGAGCAGATGCTCATAAAATTGGTGTTAGAAAAAGGAGACAGAAACAGCCCATGCTTTATGGGAAATTTCTATTGTGCCTCTATGTTCAGGTCATGCCTTTGGACTGCCCCAAAGTCCAGGCTAAGCTGAGACACCAAAGTATCCACCAGCTTTGTCTGGATTCTGAGTATAAACCTCTCCTCCCTCCCAGAGACAATTTCATGGAAAACAATCCTTCCTCCCAAGTTTTCAGGACAGAAATCTCAAAGCCAATTAATAACAAACAAACTAAAAAATTTCCCCTGCATTCCAGAGGGAGGCTTCTTGGCACAAACTTAGCAAACTGAGGTGGTGAGAGTTCTCCAGCCTTCACCATCAGCTCAACCTTCTGGTGTTGGGGACTGAGATGGAGGCGAGGCGAGTCCTAGTGGCTCCATGAAGGCAGAGAAGGTACCAAATGACCCAGCCAGTTTAGCTCTCCCGGGACAGGAAGAAATGGTGCTGGGTGGACCCAGAAATGGGAAACAGTAGGAGAAGTGACTGAAGTGATTAAAAGATGCTTTCTGGGACTTGGTAGGAAGGTGGGGAATATGATTCTCCCATTGGCCCTGATGAATAGGGATTAAAGGGTGGGATTGAGGGGTACCCCTGTGTACTTTTCTTTTGGATAGACGTGCACATGCTCTCACTAAAACATCAGATCATGACAAGGTAACATTTAGTCAGAGCTCACCAACTACTGTTAAGGCTTGCATGATAATTTTATAAAGGTTCATATTCTCTCTCACACACACATATATACACACACACACACACACACAC